GAAAGGCTATTAGTAGCTCAAAGCCGTCAGAAGTCTTATGCGTATAATCGACGGCGAGACTTGGAGTTTCAGGTTGAGGATTGGGTATTCCTAAAGGTATCACCGATGAAAGGCGTAATGAGGTTCGGAAAGAAAGGGAAACTTAGCCCTCTGTACATTGGACCATATAAGATCATACGCAAGGTAGGCCAGGTAGCATATGAGTTAGACTTGCCTTCTAACTTGGAATCTGTACATCTAGTCTTTCATGTGTCTATGCTCCGTAAATGTATCGGAGATCCTTCCAGAGTTGTGTCAGTTGACGATGTTTAGGTCACAGAACAACTATCATATGAGAAAACTCTCATTGCTATACTAGATAGACAGGTTCAGAGATTAAGGACTAAAGACGTAGCTTCGGTGAAAGTACTTTGGAGAAACAACAATGTGGAAGAAATGACTTGGGAAGCTGAAGAAGACATGAAGTCTAGATATCCTCACTTATTTCCTCTTCCAGAGAAGGATTTGACGGAGACATCACAGCCTTAAGGTACGTGTATGGATTCTTGTGTTAGTTATTATCATTGGTCGTGTGAGGCTATTGTTATTATTGATGATTGTGGTCCTATGTGGCATTGAATTATTGAATATTCTACAGAAAGGGTTGACAGAAGTACTGTTACAAAGGCGACTCTGCCAAAATTTATATAGATCCCGGGGAGTTAAACATTCGAGGACGAATGTTTCTAAGGGGGGAAGGATGTTACATTTCGCGTTTTCATACGTAAAAGTTTCGTCGTAAGTTAATCGACGTAAACTCGGGGATGAGATTATTTTTGAGGTTATGAGCATTTATGTTATTTATAACAGGCGATAAGTAAAGTACCGTAAAGGTTAAAGGGTAAACGAATCAAAGAAAATGAGTTTCGTTGAAGATTGTCGATTTGGGATAAAATACGGTCCGAACTATAATATCCAATATTTATGGACTAGTGTCATACAAGGTACCCCATGACCACGATAGTAGGGTACATAAAGTGTGTGAAGAGTATTTTGAGTAATTTGAAATAATTCTTAATTATGTAGATAATTGATTAATATTGATTAATGGAGAAATTAACAAGTTAATTAAAAGTTAGTGGGTAATTAATTAACAACCTTGGATAAGACAAATGAACCCAACGTGGCAGCCCCAAGAAATGAATAAGATTCATTACATTTAGGTGGCCAAATTAGAAGCCTTTAGCAAATGATTAGTCATCCCAAGTGGGGCCCACCTAAAAGTTAAAGGTAACATTCCTAGTTCAAAATCAATTTCTAATCTCTTAAGAAAGAGTTTCAGCAAAGATTACTTTGCATAGCAACGATAGAGTTTCAGCAAACATTATTTTGCATATCAACGTTATTGCTCATCTCTTAAGAAAGAGTTTCAGCAAACATTAATTTGCATAGCAACGTTATTACTCGCGTCTTAAGAGAGGTACATATATATCAATTTCAAACCAGATTTCACGGAGTCTTAAGAACGTGAGGTTTGGCAATTATAAGAGAGTATGATGCAATCTTTCTCAATAATATCATACATATTGTTCCCTATTTTGATCTTGCCGTTACGTGTTTCGTCGCGATTGGCGTGTGTCAGAAGGATTGTCAAGAGAATCGGTACAAGTATGTTAAGGCTGTCCCTTCTTTCTTTATGGCATGATCCAAATGATACAAACGAAACGAGAAAACGCACAACTTTCATTAATGACTCTATTCATAGAAGTACTAGGGGTGTCTATATTCTTGATTCCCCATGTAAATTATTATTATATCTTCTGTTCATAGGTCTCAGAAAAATACGTATTTGATAAAGTTTATCCGAAAGGCATATTGATCTTATGACGTTCCGAGAAATCTTATTAACACACTTCTTATGCATTTCATGCATTTATACATGTACATTGACCCATGACTAGATGGAGTTATATACGCGTATATTATATGTATATGGGATATAAAAAAAGGTTACGGCGCTATATACGCACCACCACCTGATCAGCTGGTATATGTTGATGATTTTGCCCACAGTGGCCGAGATGATATGATGGGATGCCCTCAAAGGCTTGATGATATTATGTACACCTATACCTATGTATGACATTACATTTATACGCACGTGAATGACATTATAAATGTTTAAGGATTTACAAGTTATTAAGACTTACAGGCGGAATTCTTTATTCCATGTTTCATCTATGTCTTTTATGTACTGATTTAGACTTACAGGCGAAATTCTTTATTCCATGTTTCATCTATGTCTTTTATGTACTGATTTTTATACCTTACATACTCAGTACATTATTCATACTGACGCCCTATTTCCCGGGGCCTGCGTTTTATACCCGCAGGTATAGGTAGACAAGCTGACGGTCCCCCTTCTTAGGATCCTTGATCAGTGAGAGTTGGTGTGCTCCATTTGATCCGGAGCTGCTTTTGATTTTGATACGATATGTTTGTATACATATATGGGTATGACGGGGCACAGTATCATCCTTGTACAGTTGCATATTCTGTTAGAGATCTATAGACATGATGTATAGTTGGATATATAGTTGTCTATAGCAGCCTTGTCGGTTCACCCTACGTATTCCGCACGTATATGTATATATGTCTTCTGGACAGGTTTTCCTCACACATGTTATTCTCGTAATTCAGCAGATGTTACTCATGTTTATACCTTAGACGCATACTTAAGGGTGTTCGAGAGGTAGGACTCGGGCACTTGTCATGGCCCATCGGTTTGGATCGTAACACTTATTTACCTTGAATTAGTCGGATCAATATATTTTAGTATGAAATGATTAAACAAAAACATAATTTTCTCGTTCTCTAATTTCATGGGCACATCTACCGAGTGCGACTTAACAATGAGAGAATCCATAATATCATATTCACTTATACTTTTTTTCTTCATAAAGATCACTTTCGTAGCTGCTTCCATCATCGTCCTTAACTTGAGCTCCAAACTAGTCAATGCTCAAAGCAGTGTCTGGATATTCTGAAAAAAGAATTATCATATAAGGCATTACTCTTCAACAACAACAACAACATACCCAGTATAATCCCATATAGTGGGGTCTGGGGAGGATAGTGTGTACGTAGATCTTACCCCTACCTTGTAGAGGTAGAGAGGCTGTTTCCATGCATCACTAGTAAGACATACACGTTGATATCTAATAAGTCTTTTAAGATTTTGTTTCTCCTCTTGATAAATTTTTAAACATTGCCTAGCAACAGTAATGCGAGAAGGTAACTCATAATTAGGCAAAATAACCAACATTAATCTCTTAAACCCTTCCCCCTCAACAACTTTAAATGGTTGTTCATCAATTATAACAAACTCGGCAATTGCCCTCCTAACCTCAGCAACATTATAAACAACCCTTTCTAAACTTCCTTGTTCCCCTCCTTTAATAGGTATAAGTTTGAGTGTTGGTTGCTTCCTATCAATTAGCTTGAAAGGGGATTTATCACACTTGCTGGTTAAATATGCCCAAAGGTTAGAAGTCTCATTCCTACTAAGACAAGCAAAGTCTTTAGGACAGTAATTGCATTTTGCCCTCATATCACCCTTTTTATCAGTAAACTTTGTGAAGTGTGGCCAAATTTCAGATTTTTCCCGACCATTCCCCTAGGGCTAGGGTCTTGACCACACAAAGTTGTTCTTTTTTGCTTTTTAGGAGGATTGCACATAATAAAAGTACTAGGAGTGTTACCATGTGCTTGAGTTGTCGCAGATGTTGGTGTAGCTGGAGTAGTATTTTTTAAGGTGACCTCCAAATCTTCAACCTCAGTCATTTTCATCTGAAATAAATTAGAACCCATTTTATCAGATGTCAAAAATAAATATTGATTAACATCACTTTGTTGAATTAATAAAAAATCCACTGAGTAACAAAGAAAAATTAATTTAAAACGTAATGCCTAACATCACTTTGTTGAATCAATGATAAAGTATTCATTGTAACAAATTAGAATCTTACGTTCATAAAAATCTTCTCAAACTTTAGCCCGTAGTCTTGCAATTTAAGTAGTTTTTTTTTACTTTTGTCATAGATTTTTTTGTAACTCTTCTGTTATGCAAAAGTAGATACGTAGGGTTAGAGAATTTGAGTCTCTGAAAAAGAAATTGGCCAATTCCTATTACTCCGAGCCCAATTCCTATTACTTTGGGTTTAGGCAATCTTTTAAGATATAAGTAGTATAAACCAAAATCTATATATAATAATTAAAATGCAGAAAATATTTAAAATTATTTACAAAAAGATATGATACTTTATATAAATAGTTATTAAATTTTATATATAATTTATCGGTTTGGTTCGATTTTTTTTATAATAGAACCAAAACCAAACCAAATATTATCAGTTTTTAAAATTTAAAACCAAAACTAATCCAAATCAAGAAAAATATCGGTTTACTTAATCGGTTTGGTTCGATTTTCGGTTTGGATCGATTTTTTGTCAAACCATGATCAGCCCTACTTAGAGGAAAATATGTTCTTAAAAAATATTTTGTAAAATATTTAAGTTAATCAAATATTTAAAAAATTAAACATTTTTCTCCATATCCAACACGCCCCCAATATATAGAAAAGTGTTAATAATTTTTTAGGCAAATGAAAAAATTAGACAAATAAATTAAAACAAAGAGAGTATAAGTTAATGGTTGAGTTATATACACCAATAATGTAATGAAAATATTATTTATTTTATTTTAATTGATGTGAACTTATTTGATTGAACATGAAATTTAATAAAATAACTTGTGGGTTAAAGTGAGACACATATTTTTCGTATAAAGATAAATCATTTTCGAACATGCGAAGGCACCATTTTTTTGGCACCGAATTGAAACAGACGGAGTATTAAACTCTAAAGTCTAAACTCTAAAGCAAAAGGAAAACTAGCAATTTAGCGAGAAAATAAACTTTGTCTAAATTGAGGTACGACACCTATGCTCTTAACGGTGGATTTTGACTGACATCTGGACTATAAAAGAGGGGCAAATTACGATTGTCGTCAAAAGAACAGAAATAGGAGAAAAACCAGACCCATGTTTCATTTTCCCTTTCAAGTGAGTTCGAACTCAAAAGGGGCAAGTGAAATCAGTAGCAATGTCTACTCTACAACATACAGCTTTCAGGGGCTGCAGGTTTTTGTTCGAGGCAGCAAAATCCACTACCCGATCTCCCAAAGCAGTATCTTCTTCTGCTTCCAAGAAAAAGGCTGCTGCTACAACCTCGAAATCGTCGACATCAGCAGGGAAACAGGGTCGTTCTCCTTCGGCTCGACCCACTGGTATTCTTAAGGTAACCCCTGTTTCGCCCACACTTCATAGCTTTCTTGGAGTTCCTAAGACTTCTCGCGGCGATGCTGTCAAGAAAATCTGGGATTACATCAAACTCCACAATCTTCAGGTACCCTTTTCTCTCTAGATACTATTTGAGTATATTTACTCTTTGAATAATTTTGGATATGAGTGTATACAGACTTTTATTTTTTATATATGCCGGTGTTTGACACTTTGACTACGACATATATTTTAACAAAGAAAAGAAAGTTTTTTTCACACATGGGTGAAATATATATAGTACTACTCGTATAATTTTTCAAAAGTACCAGTGGTGTTCAACATGCGATGTTAATTCCTGTAAGGCAAGCTGTTAAGGTTAGTGAGAAGGTTAAGATTAAAGAGTTTCCAAACGGTAGTATGTTGTCTATCTTTTTGGAGCAGATAATCGACGAAGAAGTGTCATATTAAATAGAAATGAAATGTACTAGTGTTACTGATCCCTAGGGGTTTTGCAGTAAAAATATTTCTGGTGTTGGAGGTTTTCTGGTTTGTTGCTACTAAAAGGTTGTTGTTTGGCCTCAAGAATGCTCCATTTGATATTACATTTTGGGCATTCTGCACTCTTTTAGTTCCTCAAAGGATTTCAAATCTGTTGAATTTTGTGTTTTCTCCAATGTGAAATGTGTGCATGCTGAGCCTCTAGGTTTATGATATCCTAACCTATTTGAACTTGAAGCATCAAAATACCTTTGGTTGTGCCTAGAAGGCAATTTAATTCCCTTGGTAGCACTTAGGCATCGGAATTGTCTGAATTAGTATGACTTGCAAAGTAAGGTTGAGCAGCTAACTGTCAGGCATCGGAATTGTCTGAATTAGTATGACTTGCAAAGTAAGGTTGAGCAGCTAACTGTCATCACAGATAGAAATAACAGTATAGCTGTGAATATGCTGGTGAATGTGTAACAAAATTAAGACATGAATAATCTAGGTCTCAGTTTCCCTTCATAAATTTGTTCAAACCTGCTAGGCTTAAGGGAAAAAAAAAAGAAACAGGTTTAAAGAACAAATATATACTGAGTTGTGTCAAGTCTCCCATTGTTTTTTGTTAACTGGCTCAGAACATATTTTGTCGGCCTTTCTCGACCCAGGGTTTCAGAATTTTCTCCGTTAGCTACTTTATGAGAAATTCATTATCTACGGACTCATTGTTCTTTATTGCTGTTGATCTCATTATCTCCGGTCAACACTCGTTGAGAATTGTTTTTTATAGACTTCACCTGGTTTAAATCTTCTTCTCTATCAATCGTACTAGTTTAAACATTTTTTTCTCCCCTTCTCGTGTTCCTAGCTTTTGATACAGGGCATCTAGGGCTTCCCCTCCAGCTTTACTGAAAGCCTTCTTAGCTTCGCTCTTGGCTCTCTTATACTTTTACCTTGTTTTCTGTAGTGAGAGTGGTCAAATAGGACTATTCTTTTTTTTTTCTTTGATAAGGGAATGGGAGATAAATTCGCTACCTAGCAAATGCTTTAGATGACTCCATCCAAACCAGTTGCAGAACTAATATTGAAAATATGCATCTTTTGCCTTTGCCAGATGTCAATTCTATTCCTATGTGCATAGATGCTTAGAGTTCTCCGGAGGTTAATTGCTGATTACTTTTCCCCATTGGAATAATATTTCTTCAGTGTTTCTTTGACAAATAGCACAACATCTCTTGCTTTTAGAGCTGTAATACACATAGTAGACAGACTCTTAGTATCATCTCTTGAAAATTCTCAATTTTCTTCTGCCTGCAGGACCCCATGAATAAGAGGGAAATCATTTGCGATCACAAGCTCAAGATACTATTTGGAGGGAAGGACAAAGTGGGGTTTCTAGAGATCTCCAAGTTGCTCTCTGTTCATTTCGTGAAGCCTAACTGAAGTAGTCGTCAAATCATCCATGTTTGACTCTTGATATTGTACATAAACTACTTTGCCTTCTGGACATTAAACTCAGACTTGTGACCTGTGTGTTTAGTTTGCTAGAGGGACATCGTGTATAAAGTAAAGTAGGAAGAAGCAGAAAGAGTAGTGGCTCTTTAACAATGTATATGTTCATTTCTTACTTAAGTGAAATGTAATGAATGTTTTTCCTGTATTATCCATTGCATCCATATGTTTAGTGACAGTTAATGAAACATAATAACGAACAATTTTCAACAGCTCAAAGAAAGTTATTTGACTTTCGTCAATTTTACTGCTGATTAAGATTGGAAAGCATAATAACAAGCAATCAAGCATAGGGGTAATTCATAACAGGCTTGAGGAAGATCTCATTAATTGGCTCACATTGTGATTACGAACAATGTTCTCCATTTGTCGCAAATAATGCATTCTGATGAACAATGTTCTCCATTTGCCACAAATAATGCATTCTGATGAACAATGTTCTCCATTTGCCACAAATAATAGGGTAAATTTGCCTAATATTTACCATGAGAACTATATAATCAGACAAGCATGTGTCGGATCCATTGTTCGACAACAGCAGGAGAACCATACCATGGTCTAGTAGCATCATCAGAGCCAACAGGGGAATGGTAAACTCCATCCAGAGTGATATTAAGTGCACCTTTCAGATGAGCTGAGACTTCTGGCACAACTCCATCACCCCAGACATCTGCCTGGCCGCAAACCTGACAAATTATCAGATTGTTAGATTACTTTGATAACAGATATGTGCTCGTGTGCTACTGAAACTAAATAACAGGAGTATATATATTAGTAATTTGAGCAATATCAAACTCAAGGGCGCCTGTGGTATAAACCTGCTTGTAGCCTTGACCAACAAACCGTGCACGGAAAGTCGAAGCTGTTTCTGGATTTGTGTTGCTTACAGCAGCAACCTCTGACGTTGGCTGGGCAACACTAGCTTCCACTTCAGAACTGTATGTTGAACTTGAACCAAGGAAACGAGACCCTTGAATATACCTATACAAGTGAAATTCATTAAGTTTTACTCAGCAAGGCTCTAAGGTAAGAAATAATTCCTAATCCCAGTAGAGACAGGATTTCATCCCATCTGTCTACACTTTGCCAGCGAATATCTGTGCTGATAGGATTTAGCACGTACCCCGTCGAATAGTCAAGGTGCATACAAACTAGTACAACCACCAACCATTATAAAAAAGTAGAAATAATTCCTTAGACAACGTCCATGTTTTATTTTAATATTTTCTCTAATAGACATGAAAAATTGTAGATAGTTTTAGTTTGTTGTGAATTATATCCGACCTTGTTCAGTACAGTTTAAGTGCAGTCTGTATGTCAATAAGGAAACCAAGCAGGAAGCAACCCTCAACCAAGTTAGTACTCATTCCCACAATTGTTGGGTGCTTCATTGTTAAAAACTTAAAATGCATGCGCAACTGGGCAATGTCATATTACTTCATCTCTTTATTGTAGTGTCCTGATACTCTTTGCAGATTATAAAGAGTACAGACTCAGTCAACTGAACAAATTAAGGGAAACCCTTTCCAAAATCAAGCTAAAAAGTGAGTTCTAGAAGATAGTTTACTATTTGCAAAGCCTAACTGTAATGAGTGAAGAAACTTTAATACATACTACCTATAAAAACACTTAATATATCTTCTTCTTTTTTTTGGATAATTAGAAACTTCAATAAATCATTATTTACTGCCGTAATTACTATTGCAAATAAAGCAGACTGTTAAGTTTGTTCAACAACCCTTTTCACTATCATTGAACATTAAACAACTAAATGAAGTGAATGTGTCAGTGCAGTGAAAACAGCATTCACAAGAAGTACTAAAAATCAAGCACATGAACAAAACACCAAAATTTGCTATTTACCTCCCTGCAATACATACATATCTAAGTTGTGGAGAATAGACAGCTTTTGCACAATGCTCTTCAACGTAATACAAGAGGCCTCTTGTTTGATCAATTACTCCTGGCAAACCTTTAGGTGGTGGCCTAATGAAACCAAATAATATCAGTGTTAGGCTTATGCAGAACAATCTCCCTAAGATATTCCATCTATTAAATCTAGTAGTAATAGTTGCATAGATACACAAGGTGACTATACGATAAATGAACAAATTTATACATACAGGTGGGGGGTTCCTAGAGTCAGTAACAAGGAAATATCTGAGAAGCCAAATTCCTGCAAATAGACACGTGCGAGCCATCCTCCAGCTGAATGCCCTATAAAAGATAAAGTTCCATTCCCACCTACAACAAATGTGGCCTGATTATGGGACTGCAACATGCCCTGTTAAGTAAAGAGGACTGTGTAGGTCAATCAAGGTTTGATGCTCATATTTATAGAATCTGTAAAAGAAAGCACCAACAACTGTTATAGCTATAGGAAGTGCATAGAAAGCTGGAGTTTTAATCCTAGGAAAATGAAGTAGAGAAAAATAAGGACGTGGCAATCAGTTTAACTGCAATCGAGTATTATCTCAGGGAGAAGTATGTATGGGACTTGCTGCTACTTCAAATGAGCAGACAGGACAGAGAATAAGGCCTTATGTTCAATGTCAGAGCAAATTTTGGGCAAAGTAGAAGAGTCCAACCATAAAATTTGGTCAGGTCATAATCAAGTGGGAGAACATTATCTCCATCTAAGCACACTGGAATGCCATAATGCGCAAATTTGGTCTAAGTCATGATCAAGTAAATGAATATTTCCATCAAACTGGAATGCCAGAATACATATCGTGTTTAGCCATGATGTATTAAGAGATGAACAATATACTACATAAATAAAATAACAGGACCATAACCATTCTGCAAGGAAGAATAAGTTATGATTACTAATTGCAGTTACTGATCCAGCATATAGGAAGAGACAGTCGAATGACTTATATTGACCATATCCGTATGTTACTTACATTATGTGAAAATGTGTAGCCGAACAAGCAGGCACAACAATGAATTAAAGATTTAGTGTAATATAGTAAAGAATATTCTAAGATTAATAATAGTGAAAGCAAAGTAATTGGAGAACCTTGAGCCAATTCTTTTGCTTCACTCACGGCTTCATCAATTCTTTCCAAGTACCTGCCAAAAGGTTTTTCTTAATGTATTATAAGAAAATGGCTTGATAGCTGCCAAGCACAAATATTTGTAAGGATTATTACCAATCAAGCACTGGCCGAGGACGAAGAGTGCCACGCCAATAATTTGAGTCCAATAAACCAGCAGCATTCCTCAGCCAATCAATTCTTGAAACTTTTGCTATTGCTGTTGGCACTCCATAGCCTTTCAGTATAAGAGCCAACTTCTCATAGTCATTTGAGTTGTTCCCTAACCCCTGAAGAAGAGTAATAGCAAATGTTCTGCTCAATCAGCATCCATTACCACAAAAAGGTATCTTCTTATCTAAGGTTCAGAATCTAAACATTACCCTGCAACCAGTGATAAAAATTTCAAACTACTCCCCCTTCCCACATTAAAGGAATTTTAATAAATCCCAGAAGGCTGATATAATAGGAGTTTAATATAACAAATAAAATGGTCAATATAATTGATTAAATTTACACAGTAAAAGACCAAGCTTTACTCAAAATTGGAGTTCCTGTAAGCTGTAACTATGGAACCCAATTTTTCCAAAAAACTGGGATAGCGTAGGCAACATTAAATTCTTGGGGAGGAAATACATATATAGACAAAAGGGTGATATTAAGAACGAAGAGAAGAATGCAAACCGGAAGAATAACAGCAGGGCGAATGGCGGAAGAAGTGGTTGTTGTACTACTTGTTGTTGGCAAGTCAGTAGCTTGAGAAATGGCATAGCAGCGCTTTGGAGTAGCATTAATGAATGTGTACGGTGAAATGGAAGATGACCATGCTACAGCCATAGCCATCTTCCCCCACTTGCCTTCTTCAGCCCACAAACGTTTTAACCGCTTTATTTGTGCAGTTTTGTGGTCCTCATTTTCCCACGGTTATTTCTTGCTTCAAACTTGATAGGCTATAATTAATACTACTTCAATTATACTTTTATATCTGAGTTTAACTTTGTGCACACAAAAAATTACATGCAATGAAGTAAATGATGTAACTTTTTTATATACTACTAACTCTAAAGTGTGCAAGTTAAATTCAAAATAAAGAAACCAAAGTTGACGTTAACTATTCCAGAAAATGACGAAAGATGGTCCCTTATATTTTGAGATAGGTTCAAAGTAGACTTTTGAATAATCTTTGGGTAATTTTGGTCCTTTTAATTTGTCAAAAGTGAATATTTTTTCCCCTTTAAAATAGTTAACAAACTCTTCATATTAGATTTAAAGAAATTATGAGATTTTTTTTTAATGTGAACTCACAATTGAAAGTGTTGTTTTCGTAGTTTCGGCTATTTTTGTCTATTTTTTTATTTTTATTTTTATATATATTTGGTGCAGTTCTTAAATGCACTTTTTGTTATTTTTGGTCCACTTTCAGTATTTTATATAGTTTTTGATGTTACAAATATTGGGATTTGATGGAATTTTTCTGATATTTTTTTACAGTCCCGTTAAATATAACATGCAAAGTTTGTTAAACATTAGACATAGACCAAGAGTGCTCAATTTTCTCAAATTTAAAGGATCAAAACTGTTCAAAAGATATTTAAGGTATTACTTTGAACTTACCCCAAACATAAGGGACTATTAATGTCATTTTCTCTTAATTTTCGTGAAGAATAGAGAACCCAAACCTGCTTTATACCCGACCCATTAGTCTGTGGAGCGGCAACAAGTTTCCCTCAATATTCTCTGTTTAGGCGGTACCAAAATTCTCTAACTTTCTTCCTGCTTTTCTGGCTTCATTGATTCTTCATTTTTTCTATTAAAAAAGGTGTCGGTTTTTAGGCTTTTTACTTCTTTTTTTAAAAATCAGTGATGGCGACGTTGGTACGATCAGTTGCCCGTAGTTTGAGGAGAAAGAACTCGTCCTCAATGTATTGCCCCGCCTCCACATTGCACTCCCACGCCACCAGTTTTGGTCAGTTTTATCCTTATTCTCTTGCATAAAGAATTCAATTTTCTTGTTCAATTTTCATATACTATTGTTTATTTACTGTTAATGATGATGATTTGGGTTGAGCTAAATGTAAGGAATGATGATTCATATCACCCAACCCAACTTGTTTGGAACTGAGTCATAGTAGTTGTTGTTGTATTGTTTATTTACTGTTGAATTTTGTGTATGCATAATTACATCTTCTATAATTTTTGTGGTTGTATGTGGGTGCATTATAAGGATTATTCTTATTTTCAAATGAATGTTACTGCGCAACTTGCTTATGCTTTCATCTAACTATGGAATGAAGACCCATATGATTTAGTTTTGGTGGGTTTTTATTGAGAAGGCGACTTTTTAGCCGTAATGATTCTTGAACTTAGAAGAAGAGAACTTTTTTGAATGTATTGTTTTTGAGCATAGACAAAGCTTTCTCTTTTCTTTGATTTTTCTTTTTCAACCTTTTGGGTGGGAAGATGAGTTTTTGCAGCTTTCTGCTATTTGAGTTAGCCATTTCTTGAAGTTGATGACTAATATCTTTGGTAAATCACTTACATTTTCACTATTGGGAAGCACATGTAAACGCTAAATATTTAGATTATTCTTGCATTAGGAAGTTGGATGACCAAAATTTGGAATTTTTAAACCATTATTAGCGAATAGATCGTCAAACTTTTCAAGACACAAGGCAGAAATACAAGATGAAATTAAAAGAAATAGGAATGGAAGAAGGTTAACCTCCTTACTGCTGCCCCTTAAGGAGATGTTGCTAAACAGAGTGATTGATGACTGTGCGGGAGGTGGGCTGCTCTCCTCCCTGTGTCCCTACTAAAGGTGAAAGGGTTATCAGCTAATGGGGTTATGTTGCATAAACAAATTTCCCAATCTTTCCATTGGTTGGTTGAAACAATCCCATGTCGGCATTACTTTGTTTGAGATTTATATTTGTGTTTATGGTATAGTTAGGAATCTCAAGGTTTGCGTTCCAGGTTTTAAGGAAGTACCAGAAGAAGAAAAGAGCAAGATGGTTGGGAATGTCTTTACCAGTGTTGCTTCAAACTATGATCTCATGAATGATCTAATGAGTTGTGGACTGCATCGTTTGTGGAAGGACAGGTTAGCTCCCCACCCCGAAGACAGGAAAAGTATCCGATTTGAAATGGAAACATTTCCTGATTATATCTTTGTTTCTTGCCAGATTGGTTTCGAAGTTGAATCCATTTCCGGGAATGAAGCATCTTGATGTGGCTGGTGGAACAGGTGATGCTTTTGGTGTTGAACATTGATCTGTGCTATGTGATTATGTAAAGCTTGGATTAAAAAGAATGAAAGCACCATTGATTAGTGAGACTAGTGAACAAAAATGCTTTTAGCGGATCAGGAGAGGGTAGAAGTAAAAAAGTTTGTCTTTGAAAATTTTCTATTTTAATTTCAAATGGAGGAGCATTGCAAAAAGACCTGCATTTTATCTGCACCTTCTTCAGCTACCTATCTAGCTAGAATTTCTTGTCTTTATGGAAGTAAAGAACAGAATTATAAAGTTTGAACCCTGGAGCTGTCTGGCCATTTTTTCCGTTATTTCAACCTGAATTAAGTACTTGGTCCAATACTTCTATAAGTGTTTCTTTTATGTATTTTTTAAAAATCTTTTTCCATCTGTCTCTCGAGATCCATGTAGACTTAGCGAAAGATAGGGCATAGTGAAGGAAAAAGATCTATATAAGCGAGACCTATTAGTTGAGAATATGTTTTAGTTATGTTAGGACTTTTACTTTACGTCTTATGCTTTTCTAGGAGTTGTTTAGCCTTTCGGAGATTTATATGTTAGTAGAAATATAAAGAACTTTTATTATTATTATTATTATTATTATTATTATTATTATTATTATTATTATTATTATTATTATTATTATTATTATTATTATTATTATTATTATTATTATTATTATTATTATTATTATTATTATTATTATTATTATTATTATTATTATTATTATTATTATTATTATTATTATTATTATTATTATTATTATTATTATTATTATTATTATTATTATTATTATTATTATTATTATTATTCTGTATAATACTGGCATGAGATGAATTTATACTAAGTAATATGGTCTATGAGAATTCATATAGCTAACCCCAACTTAATTGGGATTGAGGCTTAGTTGTTGTTGTCGTTGTTGTTTTACATTTATGTTGTCTCTAATATTCTTTGGGGGGGGGTGTTTAAGGGGAGGGAGAGATAAGTCTTAATAAGCAATCAAAGCCAAACGATCCATGTATATGGAACTTCGTTATTGATGACTGAACTTGTGATTGGCTGAATTACATTCATTTGCATTAGCAGTGAATTATGTAAATACCCACTGGCATGCTCAATTATTTGGGTTGGTTTTAGCTTGGATGTTTAGGTGATGGGATTTAGCATTTTATGGTTCATTCTTCCGTATGGTTTTATCCCTATTGTCTTGGACACAATGTATAAATTTTGTTGCCTGTTTTTCCTTTAGTATGTTCTCTTCGTGTAGTGATAAATTATGTATGTATTTCTGCCTATCCACTTGAGTGAAAAACTTTCCTAATTTTACAGGGGATGTTGCTTTCAGGATCCTTGAAAATATAAAAAATGTCAAACGTAGAGCTATGCAAAATGCTCTTGATGATGACCTGATTGAAGATACTAGAATTTATGTATGTGACATCAATGCAAACATGTTGGGAGTTGGTAAGAATAGGGCTGAAGAGAGAGGTAAAAGCCTTTATTTTTGCTTTATCTTATTTGCACTCCATGGATAGTTGGATGTCAGTTTGGGGTTTCTAGTAGAGAAAGTTTAAGTGAATTCTATTGTTAGACCTCATTTTTATCATTTTTTCTAACATATGCAGGTTTTGGACGGGAGAAGTCTCTCGTTTGGGTGGAGGGAGATGCAGAAGCCTTGAGCTTCGAAGACAACTCAATGGATGGTTACACGATTGCTTTTGGTATCCGGAATGTTACACACATAGAGAAAGTTCTTGCAGAAGCATATAGGTAATTTCATTGAGATATTTATTTCTTGTATGTGGTTGAAAGGATTTAGATGGGGATAACTTGGTTGATTTATAGGATCAAATGAGTGTTCATGAGTTTTTGATATTTATCATTATGAGTTTAGAATGTTTATCTGGATTATCTTCTTTTCTTCTTTCTTCTTAAAAGTGTATAGAACGGGCTGGCCCCCGGGATTAGTTCAAGTGGCAAAGGTTGAGGGACTTGTGACTTAGGTCTATGGTTCGAGCCTTGAGCCATGCGAACTAAGCCTGGTATTTAAGTGGAGAAGGATAGAGGGGCGGGCCTATTATCCCCGAGTTTCGAAGGTTGCGGTTGGTCCTAAGGGTTCAGACAAAATTCTCTTTCATAAAAAAGGTGTATAGAACGGAATGTCATTTAGGATTCATAGAGTCGATGCTAATCTTGTTAAGGTTGTAGCATAGTTCACTGGTTGAGTGATCGTATTTTATTATGTGCTAGTGAAAGATGCTAGCTACTTCCAAATGATCTAACATAGTACCAGTAACTCCCGCTTTGACAATATGGAAGGAAAGAAATGAGGGCTTTTGAAGGGGTGAAGAAATCTTCTATACAAATTAATGGAACCTTTTTTTGGGTTAATTGTTGAGCACCCATGAGGTTCCGGTTAGCATAGATGATTGGGTGTGATTTGCAGGGACTCATATTTGTGTCTAGATTGTCCATTTTTTTGTCACTTGTACACCAGATTTCTTTCCCCATGTCAAGTAGTAGTAATAAAACTATTACTTTATCGAAAAAATGGATCTAACAACTCTTTCAACTTTTATTAGTCACATTGCGATCTCCAATTGGTGATATCATTATGCGTCTAGATT